AAGGGCAACATAGCTTAGAAAATACTTTAGCAAGAAATAAGGCAAGGATTGGTGAGAAGTTAGCAGTAATGATAAGTGATTTAGGTGATAAGCTTTTTGATGCTTTAGATAGACCTAATGCACGAGTGGGCAAACTTTATGAATCTATTAAGGCTATCATAGACAATATTACTGACGATAAAATGTATGAAGATCAAAGGCATGTGATGGATGAGTTAAACAATATGGATTTTAGTCACAATGAACGTGTTTAGGCAACAACAAATATCATGGCCACCGCTCAACGAATTCACATATTTTGGGGGTTCAAAGTAGAGGAACAATATGCTTTTTTGAAGGATTTATTGAAAGAAAATCATTACATAATATTGGTCATTATTTATCTTATTTTATTTTTCATTTTCTACTTTATTTCTTGCTCTACTTATAAAGTGTGCACTGGATTTATTTTCAAGTGCTATGATATGTGATGGAAGAGAAATCCTTTTGTATGTAAGTTTTAAATGTTTTCTCCTAAATTCTAGTTTATGTATTTTATTTTACAATTTTTTTAAAAAGCTGCTAATGACTAAAATAAATTAGAGTTTGATGTATTTGATTTTGTATTGATTTAGTCTATTTGTTCCATATTCTTGTGTGGATTTTGATCTAATCTATGCATGGATTTTGATTTAATTTATCTACTTCAAATTCTTTTGTGTTTAATTTTGTATCTTATTGCTATGCTTGTTATTTATTTCCATCCTAAGTTCTTTTTGGAATATGATGTATGTAATACATTTGTCTTGTAAACTAGGATATTTTTTTGTCATTAATTTTCTAAATGTGTGTATGCAATATGTTTTTCCTCTTTTAACACTTTTCTTTTGGATATTCTTTGTTTCCTTTTCTAGGGGTTAGAGGCTTGGTATGGTGGGTTGTTGGGAATGTAGATACTTGGAAAATCTTTCTCCATTGCTTTCTTTTAGCCTTGTATAGAGGTCTTGCTTGTAAAACCTTGTGGTCTTATTTCTAGTTTCATTTTACTACAGTTTTCATCTATCAATAATTTTGTAAACTAGTTCCTTTGCAAACTCAATTCAAACCTTTATTGTCATTTACTGGACAAGTTATCGTTCATATGGACTCATATGATGTCGTAGAAAATGATCAAAGGCAACAGAAAACATCAAAGGTTGTTGTGGGGGCAAAGAAGTTTGAAAATCTTGTTTAGTGATGGAATTTTATGCTTTTGTATAGATGAATATGACTTCTTCTTTTTTTTTTTTAATTGTCCATTTTCGAGTATGATATGGTATTACTAAGACCAAGATTGCATTATTTCCAATATTGATTTTCTTTATTGTGAAATCTAAGTTAACTTTGTCTCAATTTTATAGATTTTGTTTGGTTATGTATTTCTGCCCAAATATCACTCAAAGTTGAATTATTTTGCTAAATTTGACTTTAGATTGTTCTTTTTTATTATATAAATAAAGTTTTTTGGGATATTTTAATAAATTATTTTGATAAATTAACATAATTTAGTGATTATTGAAAACTTTTAAATATTTTTCATGTTGGCAAATTCTAGCGATTGAAAATTTTTAAATATTTTGAATTATGGGAATTTTTGTCTCTATATATAAATTATGAAGATTATCCCATGTAATCTTACCATTTGCCAAACTAAGTATGGGATAAATTTTATACCCAATCCAATAAAATACCAAACATAAGATTGGACTTTTATTATCTTATCCAAGTTAATCCAATCCAATCTTGTCCTGCATTCCAGATATGCTGTTAATGTCTTATTCTCAATCCCTCATTTTATACTTTTAAAAGATGTTTTAAATTGTTAAGAATTTGAGATTGTAAATTGAAAATCTTGAGTTTGAATCCTAAAGCAAGTGAGAAGGAATAAGAGAAGAGAAGGCCTATCCATTATTATATAATCCATCATCTTATTAAAAAAAAAAATTCCTCATTACATGAAAAGAATGGAGCTAAGGGGGCCAAGTAATACCTAACCTTTTGTGAAAGAAACACTTTGGTCCCTTATGTTTTGTTTTTATTGTTTTCATCCTTATCTCTTTCATACCATTTTCAGTTTCTAACCTTTTTACATTTTGTCCAAAATTAATACTACTCCATTGATTTTTTAGTAGATCTAATTTGGCATTTTAACTTTTCAAATTTTAGATAAAAATTTAACTTTTCAGATTTTAGATAAAAATTTAACAACTTATATGAATGACAATTAAAATTATTATTTTTTTCTATATGAAGTTCTTCCCAAGTATTTTTATTTGACTAAAAAAATTTTTAATTATCTTTTATATAATATGTTAAATTTTTATTTAAAATTTATGTCTAAAAAATCAAACTAGAAAAGTAAACAGATGGATTAGTCTTTTTTCATAGATAAATATTTTTTTTACTTTAATCTCATTATTATCTATTGGCTTTAATTAACGATTATATCATAAAAAGTTCTGTCTTTATCATTATCTTTTATCTTTATCTTTTTTAAGGGTAGTGTATGTAAAAACATAAATTGTCTCCAAATTCTTAATTGAAAAATAAAATAACATATATTATTTTGGGACCTAGTGGTAATAAATGTTAAAATTACTATGGTAGATTGATTTAAGTTTAGTTTGACAATGTTGGTATCTATTTATGTATCTGTAGGTGTAGGTTTTTTGGTTCTTTAACATCTCAAAAATATATAAAATATATTTATTATTTATTATTTATTATTTTAATTAACATTTTATACATTTTTAAGTTATAAAAAGACATAAAAATTAAAAACCAAAGTATTGGGAAGTGTTCTTAAATGAAATCTTTAGGTTTCTAAATTTCTTAATCAATAGGTTAATGCCTATATAAAAGCTACCTATGTATTCAATTCATAATACTTGTTTTAGTTTTCTCCTTTCTTTTTTTCTTGATGTAATTTTTCATACTAAGTTATCAACTATTATTAGTTTACTATTAAAGACTATAACATATTTTATTTAAAATAGTTTTCTTTTCTCTAAAATTTTCATTTTATCTACTTTTGATTTAGGCATGACTGAATATCTTTTGGTCAAAGTTTCGTTTTGCCACCCCAAAAAAATATTCCCAACTCCT